CCTTACTGTCATGGGCTCTGCCCTGTTGGTGGAGTCTCTCTGTTATTGCACGTTGCCTCAGCAACAGCAGGCTGCGTCAGCAATGGGAGTGTACCTCAGTAGGGGCGGAATGCCTAGGTAGTGGCGGACGCCCCTCCCCCACCTAGCTGCACCGTCCTGGATTCAGCTGTGCCCGCAGTGAAACTCTCAACCCCGAGCATTTCGAATCGCTGTTTATTTTGTCCCTGTGGGGGTGGGACCCGCCAAGCCTGATCACCTTTCTCCCTGCCTCAGAGCCCTTTTTCTCTTTTTTTTTTTTTAGGTTGAACGGTTGACTTTCTCCCAGGTGTTTCAGTCGCTTGCTGATAGGGCACCGGGATCTGTGTGATTTCCCGTGCAGTGACCCACTGCACTGGCTCAAATGTCGCTTCCCTGGAATCTCCTGGTCTGGCTCACTGTCTGAGTCCCGTTTAATCAGATGGATATGCTAATCTGCCCTCCCAAATCTCAAATTGCCAGTTTAACAGGGCACCCAGACCAGTGCATTTTGTGCGGGGTGCCGCTCCACTGTGGTGCAGGCCGAAACGGCCGCACAAGCCAAAAGGGCTGCACTGGCGTCCCATGTCTCTCCTACATTCTCCTGGGAATTTCTCTGTTCTGTGGGCAACAAAGATCCATCTGGAAATGCAGCTAGGACTCACCCTCTGCGCCTTTACTGAGAACTGCAATCCTCAGTTGTTTCTACTGCGCCATCTTGGAAATCTCTGTTTATCAGTTTTAGTAGTTATCTGGTGGAGTCTTTAGGTTTTTTCAAATATAAGATCTTATCACCTGCCAACAAGGATAATTTGACTTCTTTCTTTTCAATTTAGATGACCTTTATTTCTTCCTATTGTCTAATTGCTCTAGCTAGGATTTCTATATTGAATAACAATGGCAAAAGTGAGCATCCTTAGACTGTTCCAGATCTTAAAGGAAAGGCTTTCAGCTTTTCCCCATTCAGTATGCTACTAACTGTAGGTCTGATATATGTGGATTTTATTATGTTGTGGTATGTTTCTTCTATATTCAGTTACTGAGGAGTTTTTCATGAAGGGATAATGAGTTTTATCAAATGCTTTTTCAGCATCAGTTGAAATGATCATATATATGGCTTTTGTCCTTCATTCTGTTGATTTGATGTATCAAATTGATTGATTTGCATATGTTGAATCATCTTTGCATCCCTGGGACAAATAATATTTAGTCATGATAAATAATTTTTTAATTATTTATTTATTTATATCATACTCTTAAGTTCTGGGGTACATGTACAGAACATGTGGGTTGTTACTTAGGTATACATGTGCCATAGTGGTTAGCTGCATCCATCACACCATTATCTACATTAGGTATTTCTCCTAATGCTAGTCCTCTCCTAGCCCCCAAACCCCCAACAGTGCCTGGTGTGTGATATTCCCCCCCGTGTCTACATGTTCTCATTGTTCAACTCCCACTTATAAGTGAGAACATGCAGTGTTTGGTTTTCTGTTCTTGTGTTAGTCTGCTGAGAATGATGGTTTCCACCTTCATTCATGGCCCTGCAAAGGACATGAACTTTTTTTGTGGCTGCATAGTATTCCATGGTGTATATGTGTCACATTTTGTTTATCTAATCTATCATTGATGGGCATTTGTGTTGATTCCAAGTCTTTGCTATTATGAACAGTGCTACAATAAACACACATGTGCATGTGTCTTTATAACAGAACAATTTATAATTCTTTGGATATAAACCCAGTAATGGGATTGCTGGGTCAAATGCTGGTATTTCTAGGTCTAGGTCCTTGAGGAATTGTCACACTGTCTTCCACCATGGCTGAACTAATTTACACTCCCACCAACAGTGTAAAAGCATTCCTATTTCTCTACATCCCCTCCAGCATCTGTTGTCTCCTGATTCTTTAATGATCATCATTCTAACTAGTGTGAGATGGTATCTCAATGTGGTTTTAATTTGCATTTCTCTAATGACCAGTGATGATGAGCTTTTTTCATATGTTTGTTGGCTGCATAAATGTCTCCTTTTGAGAAGTGTCTGTTCATACCCTTTGCCCACTTTTTGATGGGGTTGTTTGTTTTTTTCCTGTAAATTTGTTTAAGTTCTTTGTAGATTCTGGATATTAGCCCTTTGTCAGACGGGTAGACTGCAATAATTTTCTCCCATTCTGTAGGTTGCCTCTTTACTCTGTTGATAGTTTCTTTTGCTGTGCAGAAGCTGTTTAGTTTCAATAGATCTCATTTGTCTATTTTGGCTTTTGTTGCCATTGCTTTTGGTGTTTTCGTCATGAAGTCTTTGTCCATGCCTTTGTCCTGAATAGTATTGCCTAGGTTTTCTTCTAGAGTTATTATGGTTTTAGGACTTACATTTAAGTCTTTAATTCATCTTGAGTTAATTTTTGTATAAGGTGTAAGGAAGGCATCCAGTTTCAGCTTTCTGCATATGGCTAGCCAGTTTTCCCAACAGTGATAAATGACCTTTTTAATGTATTGTTGAATTCAGTTTGCTAGTATTTTGCTGAGATACTGGCCTGTACTTTTCTTTCTTTGATGTGTCTTTGGTTTTGGTATCAGTAACACTAGCCTCATAGAATGAGTTTGGGAGTATTCCCTCCTCCTTTATTTCTTGGAATAGTTTGAGTAAATTGGCTTCAGTTCTTCTTTAAATGTTTGGTAGAATTCACTGGTGAAGCCATTGGGTCCCAGGCTTTTCTTTGCTAGGAGACTTTTTATTATCATTTCATTCTAATTACTTCTTTTTTTTTTTTTTTTTTTTGAGATGGAGTTTCGCTGTTGTTACCCAGACTGGAGTGCAATGGCACAATCTCGGCTCACTGCAACCTCCGCCTTCTGGGTTCAAGCAATTCTCCTGCCTCAGCCTCCCAAGTAACTGGGACTACAGGCGCGCACCACCATGCCCAGCTAATTTTTGTATTTTTAGTAGAGACGGGGATTTACCTTGTTGACCAGGATGGTCTCAATCTCTTGACCTCGTGATCCACCCACCTCGGCCTCCCAAAGTGTTGGGATTATAGGCATGAGCCACCATGCCCGGCCTCTCATTACTTCTTATTGGTTTGTTCAGGTTTTGGATTTCTTCATGGTTCAATCTTAGTACATTGTATGTGTCTAAGAATTTATTTATTTCCTCTAGATTTTCCAATTTATAGGCATACAGTTGCTCGTAGTAGTCACTAATGATCCTTTGAATTTCTGCAATATCAGTTGTATTGTCTCCTTTTTCATCTTTGATTTCATTTATTTGGGTATTCTCCTTTTTTTCTTAAGTAGCCTGGCTAAAGGTTTGTCAATTTTGTTTATCTTTTCAAATAATCAACAGATGGTGAAGCCAGCCAAGCTGTGTTATTTTTTTTCAGAGTGGCAAGTTCCCCCAGACCCTGGGTGGGTCCACAGATGCTATCCAAGAGCCAGGGACTGGAGTAAAAAATCTTAGAAGTCTTCCTGGTGTTTCATTCTACTGTGGCTGAGCTGGCCTTCAAATCATGAGACACAGTCCTTCCCATTCTTTCCTCCTTTTACCACAGGCAGAGGAGAGCACCCTGTGGCCATGACCACTATGGGTCCACAGGGAGTACTGCTAGCTGTTGCTGATGTTCACTTAAGGCTCAAGGGCTCTTTAGTCAGCTTTTGGTGAATGCCACTAGGTCTGGCACTCACTCTTCAGGGCAGTGGACTCCCCTCTGGCCCAGCTGGGTCCAGAAATGCTGTCCAAGAGCCTACTTGGTGCTCTAACCCCTGTGGCTAAGCTGGCACCTAAGCTGCAAGGTGAAGTTCCCTATACTTTTCCCTCTGCTTTTCTCAAGCAGAAGGAGTTTCTGCCTGTAGGCACCACAGCTGGGATTGTGCTGAGTCTCATCTGAAGCCAGTAGAGTCTCACCCAAGACCCACGGCATATTACCCGGATATTGCTGCTGATTATTCAGGGGCCAAGGAGATGCAAGACAGAAGTCCTCTTTACTCTTCCCTCTTCTCTCCTTAAGTAGAAGGAAGGGATCTTTTTGGAGCTGAGAGCTGCACTGCCGGGGTTTGGGGGAGGGGTGATGCAAGCACTCTCTTAGTTGCCCCAGCTGGTATCTCAGTTAGTCATGTGCCCTGCAAGTCTACTGGCTCTGAGCACTGCTCAGCACAAGGATTTGCCTAGGAGTTGCAGTCCTTGTGGCCTAGAATGCCTTTCAAGTTTATTTAGAGCTCCATAGCACTTCCTCTATGGTGGTGAGGGTTGCTGGAACTCAGGTTTCAACTGCTGGGATTGACAATTTTCATCTCACTAGGGCTGGTTGAAATTCAGCCTCCATGGGCAGGTATAAGCTAGATTCAGCCTGGTTTTGCTTTTCACTGTAACAGGGCAGCACTGAGTTCAATGCAAAGTCTCACAATCACTGTGCTCTCCCTCCCCCAAGCGCATAGATCTCTCTGCACCATGTGCACACTGCTGGAGAAGGGGGATGGTGGGTGGAGACTTCTATTACACCATCTTACTCTGCCCTTCCATTTCCCTTTCTGTTCTGTTTCTGTCTGAGGCTAGCCAATCCCATGTGATCTAGGGGAGATGGCTGGGAGGATGGAAGGAAAGGGGAAGTAAAATAAAATAAAAAATTAAGAACTACCCAGAAGCATACAGAACGTTAGGCACTTCTAGACAATTTGACATTGCAAAGTTTTCCCAGGCTAAGTCTTCACCTTTTATGGAGTTTGCTTAGCAAACTAGGTAAGCCTCCCTGGCAGGGGAGAAATGCACAGATGCCACCCTCTCACACCCCTGCTTAGGGGTGGCTGTACCTGCATGCCCCTGTCAGAGTTACTGGTCCATCAGGGCTCCTGCAGGAGTAGATCCTGGGGCATGGGGAGAAATGGGGACAGCTAATAAATGGAAACCGCATGGCTAATAAATGGCAGAGCTGGGTTTGAACCTAGGAAATCTGAGTCTTAATCTTTGAACTCTGCTACGTTTGTCTACATAGGTTTCTGTATACAGAGCCTTCAGGACTAATTTTGGTGGAAAGAGATAACAGGTGGTGCTAATTCACTGTGTTGGTGGCAACTCTGGCTACACTGAAAAGTTTGAGAAAGTTATCCTGTAAACCTACTAGAATCAGGTGCTTTTATTTCTGAAGTTCTTTGGTAAGTGTCCTGAGTTTCTTTTCTGAATTCTCAATTTCTTATTGACTTAGTTAGTTTTATTTAGGGATTTCAGATTTACATGAGACAATATCTCTACCTTACAAAGAATGTGCAAGTGATGCTGATTATAATTCCTTTAATCCTAAGGAAAGAGCTAGGGATAGAGCTCCCTAAGCCTTTTTTTTTTTTTTTTTTTTGAGACAGGTTCTTACTTTGACCTCCAGGCTGGAGTGCAGTGGCACAATCTTTTTCACCATGGTCTCATCTCCAGGGCTCAGGCGATTCTCCCACCTTAGCCTCCTGAGTAGCTGGGACCACAAGTGAGCACCACCACACCTGCCTAATTTTTGTATATTTTGAGGAGACAGGATTTCACCATGTTGCCCAGCCTGGTCTCAAACTCCTAGGCTCAAGTGATCTGCCTGCCTTAGCCTCCCGAAGTGCTGAGATTACAGGCGGGAGCCACTGAAGCCGGCCCAGCCTTCACTTTTATCTAACAAATTTTTTCTAAATGTCTTCATACCGCAGTCATCTCATTCCTTCTGTCACCTGCATCAACATCCACCTTATCTGTCCAGAGATACTAGCACCCACTGAGACTTGCAATTGCAAGCCTTTAGTATAGGATGGATTTTTGTAGGAAAGGAAAATAAGGTTGTGATAGTCTGCTTCTACATGTTGTATATATCCCTGATGACTTCAAAATAGGTTTTGAATTTACTGATTGTTTTAAATTTTGTTTTGTTTTAATAATTTCCCAATAATGATGCAAGGTATTTGTTGATTGTATTGACCTTTAAATTTTTTCTTTGTTTTAAAAATAATTTTCAAATAATAATGTGAAGTATTTGTTGACTGTGTTTGTTTTATTTAATTTCATTTTTAAATTCCAAGATAAGATACAATTTATTATATAGAGAAAAAAATTTCTTATCCAAAATATAGAAATCTGTACAACTTTGCCACAATTACTACACACGAACTGTACAAATTTATACCAGTTCATAATTTACCAAATTAAAGATGACTAAGAAAGTTCACAAAATAGATGGTGGTTTGTGGAAAATACTTTTACCCAATTAAATACAAGGAAAGTTACAAACCAGACCTCCACTTCTAAAAATAAGAAGTTTACTCAGTCTTAGAAAACTGCAAGCTAGCAAATGTAGAGAGAGCTGGCTGGTGCCAACACCACAGTTAAGACAGTGTCTTTTTAAGGGTCTTTTTAAAAGCCTGTTGTCATGGCAGATTCTGGTCACTTGCTATTTTCAATGCCGAAAACACAATACAAGGTCTGACCATTTTCCCAGGTCTGTCCTATTTGTCTTAGAATGCACAGTCCAGGTTTCAGTGACTTCCGTGATAAAATCCTGGAGGATGGCTTTTAAAAAAAAAGTTGTAATAATTCAGAATTCCAGATGCAAAGAGAAGAAAACAATAAAAATTTATGTCCCACCCACCTCTGAGATGTATTTGGTTCAGGTGCTTTTTCTTCTGAACTTGCAGCATTGTATATACAGTTAAAGGCTTCTTAGTTTTCTAATCTCATTCTTTTCCATCCTTATTTGTAACCTTATTTGTAAAAAAAAAGTGCGTCTTTATTCACTATGTTTTTCTCCTTTTACTAAACACAAACATTTATTATAGTTTTTAAAATATTTTATCTAAATGCTATTGTATATTATTTTCTGCAAACCTGCTTTTTAAATTTATCATCATGCTTTGTGAGTTTATCTATATTTATACTTGAAGATACACTTTATTTTATCTGCTGTATTAATCTTTCATTGTAAATTGTTTCCTGTGTCAAATATCTATCTTGTTCATTATAATGTCTGTTTCAAACTGTCTCCATTCTATTATTAAAATTTTTTTGGCAGGCCGGGTGTGGTGGCTCATGCCTGTAATCCTAGCACTTTGGGAGGCCAAGGTGGGTGGATCACCTGAGGTCAGGAGTTCAAAACCAGCCTGGCCATCATGGTGAAACCCCATCTTTTAAAAATAAATAAATAAATAAAATGTTTTTGGCAGCTGGGCATTGTGGCTCACGCCTGTAATCCTCAGTGCTTTGGGAGACCAAGGCAGGAGAATTGCTTGAGGACTTTGAGACCAGCCTGCGTAACATGGGGAGACACTCGTCTCTACAAAAAAAAAAAAAAATTTTTTTTTAAAGAATTAGCGGGGCATAGTGGCTGTGCGCCTGTAGTCCCAACTACTCAGGAGGTTGAGGTGGGAGGATCGCTTGAGCCCGAGTTAGCAGTGAGCTGCGACTGCACTCTATCCTGGACGACAGAGTGAGACCCCATCTCAGGTACACAAAATGCTTTTGTCCTGTTTTTATACCAAGTGTCTCTGTCTCAGGGGGTGACTTTATTTCCTACCTCAAACGGAAAAGTGAAGCTATCAGAAGGGGACTCTTTCAGCTTCCTCCCAACAAAGTGATAAGCCCACCTTCACCCATGCCCATTATCGCCTTTTCTCCTCCTCCTGAACTTCTTCTGCATCCTGGATCATATTCCTTCCTTACCTCTCTTTTCAGGGCCTTTACTGTGTCAATCATCCCAGCTTCCTTCTACATCTTTAAATTTTCACTCCCTTACTGGCTTCTTACCATCTAAATATTTTCAGGCCTTTCCCATCTTAATAAAATACTTTAACTTCTTTTCCTCCTGCTACATTTCTTTTACCTCTCTCCTTTATAGCTTGATATAGTGAACAAGTTGTGTATATTTGGTGATACTATTTCCTTACCTCCCATTCATTCTTTGACTCATTGTGAAAAGGACAATTAATATAGGTTCCTTTACTGAACACCTGTGAACCAAGGCATAGTCTTAAATCCTTTTTGTAAATTTTTCTCAATTAATTCTCATAACAGGTATATTAAGGCGGATGTACCATGTTTTATAGGTAAGAGAACAGAGTTAGAAAGATTGAATATCTAGGTTAATATTATAATACTTTTAATGACAAGTGGAATTCAAGCCATCTCCGTTAACTCTAGTCTCTAAGACCTTAGCCCCTAGTTTATTGCCTCCTGGTGCCCACTGCCCAGGTTCTGAACAGTATTTTTCAAAGTCACCCATAACCTTAATTTTATTAAACCAAATAACACTTTCCAGTCAATACCTAGCTGTACCTGTCAGCAGTATTAGACACCTTGGCTCTATCACTCCCTGCCTTTGCAGCCTCAGCTCTTCATGTGCAGGTGACTTTGTTCTGGGCTTCCTTAATATCATATACCCTTGTTTTTTCTCCTACCTCTGGTTTTTCACAATCAATCCTCTCTATAGTCTTTTCTTCAATGTTGTCTTCTTTTACTCATCCCCTAAAGTTGATGTTCATTGGAACATCAACAATCTAAACTGAGATAATCTCATGCCACAGTACACATGCCCTTTATGTGATCCACTGCTTCCATTCTTCAATGCTGATAACTTCACCTGGACAATTCCAATGCATTCTTTAGGTCTTGATTAAATGTTACCTCTGCCTTGGAAGTCTTGTTGAACCATAATCTCCAGATTAGTTTAGATACGCCGTTAGCATATTTTTCCTCTTATAGTCCATATCATACATGATGTTAAATACTGATTTCATCAGCACTCTTTTCTGCCAGCCATTCTCCTCCTAAAGAGAAGGGATTGCTCTTGTCTTGCTTGCTAGTCTATTGCCTTCTCTTAGCACATATTAGACACAGAATAAATATCCTTTTAATAAATGAATTGCATGCATGTAATAATCTATTTCTTCTGATAGTTTCAGCTGTGAGTTCAACATGGAGGCAAACCAGTGCTCCCTGCTAGTGGAACCATCTTACCCAGACCTGGTCATTAATGTAGGAGAAGTGACTCTTGGAGAAGAAAACAGAAAAAAGCTGCAGAAAATTCAGAGAGGCCAAGAGAAGGAGAGAGTTCTCCGGGCTGCCTGTGCTTTATTAAACTCAGGGGGAGGAGTGATTCGGATGGCCAAGAAGGATGAGCATCCCGTGGAGATGGGGCTGGATTTAGAAACATCTTTGAGAGACCTTATTCAGTCCTCAGATTTGCAGGCTTTTTTTGAGACCAAGCAAGAAGGAAATTGTTTTTACATTTTTGTTAAATCTTGGAGCAGTGACCCTTTCCCTGAAGATGGCTCTGTCAAGCCCCGCCTTTGCAGCCTCACTTCTTCATTATACTGTAGATCTGAAACCTCTGTGCTTGCCATGGATTCAAGAGAAGCATTCTATTTCCTCAAGACCAAGAAAAAGAATGCAAAAATCTTGGAAGAAGGACCTTGTCACAAAGTTCACAAGGTTATACACCAAGAGCTCCCTAACACGGATCCTGCTGATGCAGTTTTCCAAAAAGACTATCTTGAATATGGTGAAATCCTGCCTTTTCCTGAGTCTCAATTAGTAGAGTTTAAACAGTTCTCTACAAAACACATCCAAGAATATGTAAAAAACCTAATTCCAGAATACATCCCTGCATTTGCAAACACCAGGGGAGGATATCTTTTTATTGGAGTGGATGAGAGTAGGAAAGTCCTGGGATGTGCAAAAGAAAATGTTGACCCTCTCTCTTTGAGATGGAAAATAGAAAATGCAATATGCAAATTACCTTGTGTGCATTTTTGCACACAACCCCAATGCCGGATAACCTTCACACTCAAAATTGTGGATGTGTTAGCTCAGGGAAAGCTATATGGCTATGCTTGTATGATCAGAGTAAAGCCATTCTGCTGTGCTGTGTTCTCAGAAGCTCCCAAGTCATGGATAGTGAAGGATAAGCATGTCTGCAGCCTGACAACCGAGAAATGGGTAGGGATGATGACAGACACAGATCCAGGTAAGAGGGAGAAAGCCCCTCCTTCCCTGTCCTTTCTACATCCTTGGCACCTCCCATGTTAAATTTTCCTTTGCTGCCTATGACTTTGGCCATCTTATATCCACTGAACACTTTATTTTGAATCCCCAAGTATCCTACTTTTCATACATGAGAAAATTTTGTTGGGTGATTAGAAACCTAACTCACATGTCTTACAAGTGACAACTTTTTACCTCAGTAACTGAACAGAAAATTATTTGAGAATGGCCACCTTTGCAGTGATGTACTGGAATGACTCTTACTGGCTTTAGGATCAATTATTAAATTTTCAGGAATTCTTGAGCTAGCTGTGAAACATAGCTATTACTAAAAATTAGGTTACATATACTTGCACCTAAATAAATTATATCAGAAACAAATGTAATAAATTCAAACTCACCACTTCCTAATTATTTGCTATATTTTGCTATTATCTTTGCTTGAGAGATTATTTACATCTATTGTATTTATGTGGTGGGAATATTATAAAATGGAGTGCTGTGGTGCATTGCTTTCCAACTCTGTATTTAGTAATGATCACATTAGGAGCTTGAAATTGTCCATGGTAGGAAGATTTATAACCCAGAAACGGGCAGTTGGCTACGAACGAGGGATCTCTTCTCAATTAGACCTGTTTAGTAAACCATCACCAGCATAGTACTGCTTTCTGGGGTTGCTTATTTGAAGAATTAAAAGTTCTTTGGGCTGGGCTTAGTGGCTCACGCCTCTAATCCCAGCATTTTGAAAGCCTGAGGTGGGCGGGTCACCTGAGCAGGAGTTCAAGACCAACATGGTGAAACCTCGTCTCTACTAAAACTATAAAAATTAGTCGGGCATGATGGTGTGCACCTGTGCTCCCAGCTGCTTGGGGGACTGAGGCAGGAAACTCGCTTGAACCTAGGAGGAGGAGGTTGCAGTGAGCCGAGATAGTGCCACTACACTCTAGCCTGGACAATAGAGCAAAATTCTGTCCCAAAAACAAAAATAAATATAAATAAATAAATAAAAGCCCTTTGGATTGAAGTTTGCTATCACTTTATAATAGCTATCACTTTCTGGGTTATCACCTCTGCCTAAATTAAGATGTAGTTTATCTCTTGATCCTTGAGGACATTGTTAATTTTGCAGCTCAGGAAAATTTGAAAGTAGCTCAGGGACGAGCATGGTGGCTGACACCTATAATTCCAGCACTTTGGGAGGCTGAGGTGCGAGGATCACTTGAGCCCCAGAGTTTGAGGCTGCAGAGAGCCATGAGTACACCAATGCACTCCAGCATGGGTGAGAGCGAGACCCTGTCTCAAAAACAAAAGAACAGAAAGTATTTCAGGGTGATGAGGGTCACGGGGATAGGGATGTATTCAGGGTTTGTCCTCAATACCTTTCATATTATTCCATGTCTCTGTTTATTCTGTTGATAATTTGCCTTTTCTTCCACTCATCATCACGTACCCATTATGCTGTATGCCAGCAGCTATAATCTGCTCTACTCCTCTGCTCCTAAGTTTTAAATATTTCTTTCCTTGCATCACTACTGCTTCCCAAACATGTTTCTATATTTACCCCATCATGCTATAATTTGGCGGGCTAGTGGGCTATCTCAGTGTCTCTGTAACACCTGAGAATACCCCAAGTCTGGAGAAATACAGAGAGAAGAACATAAAAATTGGGACACCATCTTCTGAGTAAAGTGGATGGGTATTTGGAAAGAAGTGTTATAAAGCTGACCTCAATCTCCAAAGCACATGAAAAAGTTAAACAATGCACTCTATAATGTCCTTTGATTTTGTACAGTATCTCATTATAACTTCAGGAATAAGCATAGGTGTCAGAATGGCACCCAGGCTGCAGTGCAGTGGCGTGATCATAGTCCACTGCAGCCTTGAACTCCAGGGCTCAAGGGATCTCTTGAGTAGCTGAGACTACAAGCATAAGCTACTGTGCCCAAGCCCTAAGCTATTTTTTAAGTGTGAGTAACAGTAATTGCAAGTCAGATATGAGATGATATTTGACAGAGTTGAGACTTGGGTTCAGGAGAGGTGGGGGCTGTTGGAGAGGGGATGTAAAAGAAGATACATGCACAGACAGGAGTACTAAAAGAATGTGCTAGGTATCATAAGGGTGTACAAACAAAGATTTATAATGAATAGAGAAATACATTTAAACTTCCAAATAATGGCTTTTCAGTGGTGGATTTTGGTGACCTTGATAGGCAGTAAAGGCACTTATATAGACAGAGTGAATGGGGAGTTATTTTGATATTATTCCTCAAGTCACACTGTTTAGAAAGTCACATATTCTACCTATTGATAAGTCCTCTTTGAGTCATGAGGAGATAAACTAGCATGTCAGAATAACAGGAATTTTCTTTCTTTCTTAAGATCTTGTACAGTTGCCCAAAGATTTTGAATCTCAGCTGAGTCTATCTGGTGGGCCTCCCCTTAGCAGACCAGTGTACTCCAAGAAAGGCCTGGAACATAAAAAGGAACTCCAGCAACTCTTATTTTCAGGTAATTATGGTTTGTCTACTCAACACCAACCAGTTTCTATGTTAGGCTAAAGGGAGATTAAACTATATATTTATTTTGTAAAATCCTGAAAGTATGCTCTGCACACCCGTATGTAAGATGTGATGATGTTACAATCCTATTGGTGATAAGTGGTTTAGAAATGAAACCTCACTGACCCCACTGGCTTAAGCAGTATCACACATAGAATCCAGGAACATTGTTGGGAAAAGTGGCTAGCAATGTGCATAGTCCACTGCAGCCTTGAACTCCTAGAAACTGAATCACTTCCTGACACCTTACGCTCAAATGAATCCAGATGGATTAAAGATCTAAACATAAGACATAACATCATAAAAAACCCTAGAAGAAAACCTAGGCAAAACCATTCAGGACATAGGCATAGGCAAGGACTTCATGACTAAAACACCAAAAGCATTGGCAACAAAGGCCAAAATAGACAAATGGAACCTAATCAAACTCCACAGCTTCTGCAGAGCAAAAGAAACAATCATTAGAGTGAACTGGCAACTAACAGAATGGGAAAACATTTTTGCAATCTACCTATCAGACAAAGGGTTAATATCCGGAATCTACAAAGAACTGAAACAGATTTATAAGAAAAAATACAAACAAACCCATTCAAAAGTGGGTGAAGGATATGAACAAACACTTTTCAAAAGAAGACATATATGAGGCCAACAAACATATGAAAAAATGCTCTTCCTCACTGGTCATTAGAGAAATGCAAATCAAAACCACGTTGAGATACCATCTCATGCCAGTTAGAATGGTGATCATTAAAAAATCAGAAGACAACAGATGCTGGAGAGGATGTGGAGAAATAGGAACACTTTTACACTGTTGATGGGAGGTAAATTAGTTCAGCCATGGTGGAAGACAGTGTGGCAATTTCTCAAGAACCTAGAACTAGAAATACCATTTGACCCAGCAATTCTATTACTGAGTATATACCCAAAGGATTATAAATAGTTCTATTATAAAGACACATGCACATGTATGTTCATTGTGGCACTGTTTACAATAGCAAAGACTTGGAACCCAAATGTCCCATCAATGATAGACTGGATAAAGAAAATGTGGCAAATATACACCATGGAATACTATGCAGCCATAAAAAACAATGAGTTCGTATCCTTCGTAGGGACATGGATGAATCTGGAAACCATCATTCTCAGCAAACTGACACAAGAACAGAAAACAAAACACCACATGTTCTCACTCATAGGTGGGTGTTGAACAATAACACGTGGACACAGGGAGGGGAGCATCACACACTGGGGTCAGTTGTGGGGGGCCAGGGGAGGGACAGCAGGGGGTGGGGAGGGTGGGGAGGGATAACATGGGGAGAAGTACCAGATATAGGTGATGGGGGGATGGAGGCAGCAAACCACCTTGCCATGTACGTACCTATGAAACGATCCTGCATGATCTGTACATGTACCCCAGAACCTAAAGTACAATTTAAAAAAAGACTGTTTGGTCTTGTAGTTACCAAATCTGGCTGATCATCAGTGTCTCTGGTCATTTATAAAAGGACGCACATCTGAGTCCCTAGTCCGCTCATAACAAATTGGAATATCTGGGGAGAGGGACTTGTAATATGCACTTTTATCAAACCACCCTCATGATTTTAGGCTCATTTAGATTGGAAACCTTTTCTCTAGTCAAACTAGTCATAAACTACACCAGAGAGCAGCCAAAAAACTGCCTATCCCTGCCAGATTTTCCAGAGGAGTCGAAGTTATAAATATGAGAAAAGAATATAATCTAGGTCAAGAAGGAAAACAAAAAAATAAAATAGAGATGGGTTATGCATTTATTCTTGTTTTTTGGGTTTAGGACAATCATGTAGCACAAACAATAATTTAGGACCAAGGTCAATGCCTTTTCTGTACTCTTATCCCTTGCTCCCATGATAGGCTTTGCTGAGGAATCCACTGCTGTCTTCTTTGTGGAATCCCAGAGAGGGAAAGCCACTTGCTTAAATCTGTGACTACTCTAGTGTACCTGGAGTGGTGGCATTAATTGAACATCTATTCTGGTCCTTGTCATTACTGTTATGTAGAATATCAAATAAATGAAAGAGACACTTCTTATCGTCACATAATTTCCTTTGGAAGCATGTTCCATTATACAATTAAAGAAAAAAAAGACCTATGCAATGATGAGGTAAATAAACATCAAGTGTTTTAGTGACTTTTACCATGTATCAGGCAGGAGTAGTCTGTGACTTTCGGGGCAGGGCAGAAATAATAGAGGATCTGATGTCCAAGAGACTTGGGTTCAGACTCTGGCTCTGCCATTTCCTAGTGGTGTGATATTGGGCAAGTCACTTGATCTCTTTTATTTTTTATTTCTTGAGACAGTACCTTGCTCTGTCACCCAGGATGGAGTGCAGTGGTGCAATCATAGCTCACTGCAGCCTTAAATTCCCCAGCTCAAGCAATCCTCCTTCCTCAGTCTCCCGAGTAGCTGGAACTACAGGCCCATAGCACTGCACCCAGCTCTCACTTGACCTCTTTGAATCCTTATTCACTCATATGAATATGGAAAGACATATTTGTCTTCCTTGGAAAATTTGTGAAGACCAGAGAAACATTCACATTTCCTGGTACAATCAACGAACGATGTATTTTCTTATTTTACATTCCTTTGGTTTCCAAAGCTTCATTTTAAACATATCCTCAAATTATCCATTCTAAGATGTGTGTTTCCCCCATATTTAACATCTCTAAAATCTGGGTGTGTCTTACAATAGATGCCGTCTCCTACTCACTGTCATCCAGGTTGCAGGCATAATCAAGTTGTGTGAACACCTGGTACAAATGAGAAACATGAGCAACAATGAACCATAATTACCAATAAAATCTGGGTAATTTCTTTTGAAATTACACTACAAATATTGATTTGGGTTTGTACTCTAACACTACCACAACAGGACAATTATTTTTCCCCCCTTTGGAACCCATGATAATTGAAATAAGTGCATAACCCTCCAATGCAAGTATATTCTCATGTCATATAATTATTTCTTATTTGCCTGTGACAAAGGGAAGACTTTTGTGATAGGGATGAGCCATATGTTGATCTCTTAAGTGATGCAAGAATTCTGCTTCGGGAGAGATAGCTTTAAGGATCTCCCAGTCTAGGACTGCAGGAAATTTCCTGCCAATAAAGGCTTTAACGTGACTCCCTCTTCTCTGCAAATATGGTATCAAGGAGTACCTTCTTCCTGGTGGGGGGCCCCTGCTATTCCCATCAGTGGACCACTTTGAGATTCAGGTATGTTCAAAGTAGAAAGGGGAAGAGAACCACCACTTCTCAAGAAGCTACAATGAGCCAAACATTTTATGTTATTTCATTTCTTTCCCCCCATGGGAAATGTGCTATTCTTAGTTTTGTTTTACAAAACAGACAACAAAGTCTTAGGCTAAGGAATTTTCCAAGGTTGTAAGTTTAAAAAAAAACATGGGTTTGATTGAAGTATACCAGATATTCCAGGGTTCTTTTCCTTTATGATTGTAATATAATAATACCTATAAAAGAATATTTGAAGCATCTGTAAGTCATCATCAAATTAATCAATTAATTATAATTAGTCATCATAATCAATAGGATTATTCCTCTTCCCCTAATTTATCATTCTTTTCACATACAGTCCCACTAGGACATTTGCAATATACTCCAGAGTCCCTCTGGAAGGACCTGACCTCACAGCATGAAGGATTAGAGGAATTAATAAATGAGCAAATGCAACCTTTCTTTCGAGGAATATTGATCTTCTCTAGAAGCTGGGCCATGGACCTGAACTTGCAGGAGAAGCCAGGAGTCATCTGTGATGCTCTGCTGATAGCACAGAACAGCACCCCCATTCTCTACACCATTCTCAGGGAGCAGGATGCAGAGGGCCAGGACTACTGCACTCACACCGCCTTTACTTTGAAGCAGAACCTGGTGAACGTGGGGGGCTACACCGGGAAGGTGTGTGTCAGGGCCAAGGTCCTCTGTCTGAGTCCTGAGAGCAGCACAGAGGCCTTGGAGGCTGCAGTGTCTCCGATGCATTACCCACTGTCCTATCGCCTTGCAGGCACCCAGCACATGGAAGCCCTGCTGCAGTCCCTGGTGATTGTCTTGCTCGGCTTCAGGTCTCTCTTGAGTGACCAGCTCGGCTGTGAGGTTTTAAATCTGCTCACAGCCCAGCAGTATGAGATCTTCTCCAAAAGCCTCCGCAAGAACAGGGAATTGTTTGTCCACGGTTTACCTGGCTCAGGGAAGACCATCATGGCCATGAAGATCATGGAGAAGATCAGGAATGTGTTTCACTGTGAGGAACAGAGAATTCTTTATGTTTGTGAGAACCAGCCTCTGAGGAACTTCATCAGGTAAGCAGTTGGATCTTATATCTCTAAGCTTTATTCAATCTAGGTTTAACTTTTTCTGCTAAGCTTCCTTGCTCCTTGAGAATTAAGTGGCAAAATCATTTGTGACAACAGACCGTGTACAGGGGAGCATGATCGAGTCATTTTCTCCTTTTATTCAGTTAGAACAAACCTGAATGTGTCATTTTAATTTTTACAGTAATAGAAAAATCTGCGAAGCAGTGACTCGGAAAACATTCCTGAAAAATCACTTTGAACACATTCAACACATCATCATTGACGAAGCTCAGAATTTCCGCACTGAAGATGGGGACTGGTATGGGAAGGCAAAAACCATCACGCAGAGAGCAAAGAATGACCCAGGAATTCTCTGGATCTTTCTGGACTACTTTCAGACCAGCCACTTGGATCACAGTGGCCTTCCCCCTCTCTCAGAACAGTATCCAAGGGAAGAGCTGACCAGAATAGTTCGCAATGCAGATCCAATAGCCAAGTACTTACAAAAAGAAATGCAAATAATTAGAAATAATCCTTCATTTAACATCCCTCCTGGGTCCCTTGAGGTACTTCTTGAAGCTGAATGGTCCCAGGGTGTTCAGGGAAACTTAAAAATTAAGAAACACTTTACTGTAGAGCAAATAGTGACCTATGTGGCAAACAAATGCAAGCGCTTCTTTGAAAGGGGCTATTCTCCTAAGGATGTTGCTGTGCTTGTCAGCACCGCAAGAGAAGTGGAGCGCTATAAGTACGAACTTTTGAAAGCACTGAGGAAGAAAAGGGCTGTGCAGCTCAGTGATGCATGTGACATATTGAGTGATCACATCATGTTGGACAGTGTCCGGCGATTCTCAGGCCTGGAAAGGAACATAGTGTTTGGGATTCATCCAAGGACAGCTGACTCACTTATCTTACACAATATTCTGGTCTGTCTGGCTTCCAGGGCAAAACAACACCTATATATTTTTCTGTGTGGAGACTGTTAAGAAGAACTCCAAATCAAAATGAGACGAGGCAATTGCCATGTAATGTCTGTGGGTGACAATCCACTAATGACTGAAACGTTTTCTTTTTAGTTCACAAGTCAGCTAGAGACTTGGGTGAAGCTGACATACAGAGTTTGGAACTCCCTCATCTCAGACACTTCTTTCAGGGCTTCCTTCTTCAACTATTTCCAGCAGCTATGGTTGACCCCCTTTCTGTCCCCTGACTCTTCCAGCCAGAAAAACAGTGGTTTTCTAAAGGAACTTAAGCTATCCTGCACAGCGTGGACCTATGTCTTGCACTCTGGGTAAAAGCTATAGAAACAAGAAACTGATCCTGTGGCCTGTCTTCTTCCAAGGCTGGACTTCTTTTTTTAAGTGACTTCATGTGGGTTGTTGCTTAAAAAATTTTTCAGAATTGTTTTCTGCTGCATGGTCTGCTAGGCGCTTACTGGCCATAGCAGAAGTTATTGTTTCCTGAATTTGTGACACTTGTCTTTGCTGCATTCATTTAAGGCTTGGGAGATTCCCAAGATAATTCAATCACTGTCAGATGATAATTGTGTCAGACCAAAGAATACTGTTATGATTATTTAATCCTTTAAAATTGTGATCTCCAGAGCTTGTTCTCAGAATGGCCCAGGCCGAGCCTTAATTGTGAACATTAATGATCACTTTAAAGAGAAATTATAGGCCAAGATGAAATGAACATAAACCTGTTTGCCCTGGCTTTCAGTGGAAGATAATATTAGAGACCAAAATCTGATTCTAAAGGTGTGTATCAGCCCTAAGGTGAACCGAACTTGGGGAAGATTGTCTTTAGAAATCAACGAGTTCATGTTTTAACTTCTCAGCTTGGTTCTATGCATTGCTCTGTAACACACCTAGTTAAGTTTTATGTCATTCTTGAACTGTGATTTTTTTCTATTTGCTTTCATAGTTTGGTAAGCCATTGTTATGGACTGAATGTTTATGTCCCACCCTCACCCCTACATTCCCATCTTGAAGCCCCAACCTGCAGTGTGGAACTGGGCTGCTAAGGAAGTTATTAAGGTTACATGAAGTCATGGTGGGTCTCTGATCTGCTAAGATTGGTGTTCTTATAGGGAGAGACCCCAGAGAGCTTGTTCCCTCCCTCCCTGTGTACGCAAACAAGAGGGCATAGGAGAACACAGAGAAATGGCAGCCACCTACAAGCCAAGAGAAGAAGCCTCACAATGAAAGCCCCACTGCTGGTACCTCTGTCTTGGAATTCCAGCCTCCAGACTGTGAGAAACAAATTTCTGTTCTTTCAGCCTGTCAGTCTCTGGTGTTTTGTTATTGCAGCCTGAGAACACAGCTGTATGATTATTTGTCAGACAAAAAAACACTGATACTTAACAATGCTAATGCAATTACTTATGTGCTTTTCAGTCTCTAAAAAACATTCTAAAACACGAATCTAAATACTAACAAAATATTTGCACAACTAATGGAAATTAAGAGACTATATGCCCAGGAGAGAGATCCAAGATGGCCGTCTAGCAGCAGCTCAGGGTTGCAGCTCCCAGTGAAGGTGCAGGGAGAGAGTGGACGCCAGACTTCCAGACGAATTTTTGTTGCTTATGGACCAGGAGATTCCCAGCAGAGGAGCCCCACTGGTCTCCAGTGCGACTCTTTTAGCTGGCGCATCTGTTTTGCCAATGCGGCAGTTCTCAGTGCAGAGTATGTCAGACTGGGTGCCCTTTTAGTTCGTGTTTGGAGCTCCGAGAAGGCAGAGTCACCCATTCAGCTGATTGGGAGGGCGACTAAAGCTGGGAGCCAGACCAGGAGATTCCTGGGCAGAAAAGCGCCACGAATCTCAGCACCACTGTTTCAGCTGGTGCGGTTGCCGCACGGGAAATTGCATAGATCCCAGCACCTTTTCGGTGGGTGACTGGGGCACCTGGGAGAGAATCGACTGTTCAATTAGGAAAAGAAAAAAAGGGGGCTCAAAGGCGGGGAGCCAGGTGATTGGGTTCGGCTGGTTCCACCCCCACAAAAAAACAGCAATTGGAAACACTGATGGTTGGGAGTTTCACAGCAAGCACAGCTGAACCCAGGAAGGTCCAGCTCTGTGGGGGAGGGGCATCCACTGAAGGAAAACAAACAGAAATAACATCACCACCAACAAGCCGGACCTCCACTCAGAGACCCAATCTGAAAGTCAGCAATTACAAAGATGACAGGTGGATAAATCCACAAAGATGGGAAGAAACCAGTGCAAAACGGCTGAAAACATCCAAAATCAGAATGCCTCTTCTCCTTCAGGGGATCGCAGCTCCTCATCAGCAAGGGAACAAAGCCTGATGGAGAATGAGTGTGATGAATTGTCAGAATCAGGCTTCAGAAGGTGGATAATAAGAAACTTCTGTGAGCTAAAAGAACATGTTCTAACCCAATGCAAAGAAACTAAGAACCTTGAAAAAAGGTTTGATGAAATGCTAATGAGAATAGACAATTTAGAGAGGAATATAAGTGAATTAATGGACCTGAAAAACACAACACGAGAACTTTGCGAAGTATGCACAAGTTTCAACAGTCGAATTGATCAAGCAGAAGAAAGGATATCAGAGGTCAAAGACCAACTCAATGAAATAAAACGAGAAGACAAGATTAGAGAAAAAAGGATAAAAAGGAATGAGCAAGTCTCCAAAAAATATGGGACTATGTGAAAAGACCTAATGTATGATAGGTGTACCTGAATGTGATGAAGAGAATGAATCCAAGCTGGAAAATACTCTTCAGGATATTATTCAGGAAAACTTTCCCAACCACCAAGGCAGGACAATATTCAACTCCAGGTAATACAGAGAACACCACAAAGATATTCCTCAAGAAGAGTAACCCCAAGGCACATAATCATCAGATTCACCAGGGTTGAAATGAAGGAGAAAATGCTAAGGGCAGCCAGAGAGAAAGGTCAGGTTACCCACAAAGGGAAGCCTATCAGACTCACAGCAGATCTCTCAGCAGAAACCCTACAAGCTGGAAGAGAGTGGGGGCCAATATTCAACATCCTTAAAGAAAAGAACTTTCAACCCAGAATTTCATATCCAGCTAAACTAAGCTTCACAAGCGAAGGAAAAATAAAAATCTTTTGTGAACAAGCAAGTACTTAGAGATTTCATCACCACCAGGCCTGCTTTACAAGAGCTTCTGAAAGAAGCAGTACACATAGAAAGGAACAACCAGTATCAGCCTTTCCAAAAATATACCGAAAAGTAAAGAGCATCAACATAATGAAGAATTTACATCAACTAATGGGCAAAACAGCCAGCTAGCATCAAATGGCAGTTTTATACTAACATATATTATAATTAATTCTAAATTTAAATTGACTAAATTCCCCAGTCAAAAGACACAGACAGCTAAATTGGATAAAAAGCCAAAACCCCTCAGTATGCTGCATCCAGACCCATCTCACATGCAAGTTTACACAAAGACTCAAAACAAAGGGATGGAGGAAGATTTACCAACCAAATGAAGAGCAACAATAAATAAATAAAGAAAAAGCAGGAGTTGCAATTCTTGCCTCTGAAAAAATAGACTTTAAAGCAACAAAGATCAAAAGAGACAAAGAAGGACATTACATCATGGTAAAAGGATCAATGCAACAAAAAGAGCTAATGATCCTAAATATATACACACCCAATACAGGAGTACCCAGATACATAAGTTCTGAATGACTTATAAAGAGACTTAGACTCCCACACAATAATAGTGGGAGACTTTAACATTACATTGTCAACATTAGACAGATCAACGAGACAGAAAATTAACACGGATATCCAGGACTTGAACTCAGACCTGGAACAAGTAAGCTTAATAAACATTTATAGAACTCTCCACCCCAAATGCACAAGACATACATTCTTATCAGTACCACATCATACCTGCTCTAAAAGTGACTACATAATTGGAAGTAAATCACTCCTCAGTAATTGCATAGCATTTCACAGGTTTAAATGAAATATTAGTTGGCTGCTTGTTTGTTATTTTCCTCCCTTATTCCTTCCTGTCTCCATTTTTAAGCACAATTATTGGCATAAAAGAGGTTTTCAATACCCACTTTTAGACTGCATTCTAGCCTGGGCAATAAAGCAACACTCCCGTTCTCTCTCCCTCTTTCTTCCACTCTTTCATTATTTTTTTATTCTTTTTTTCTTTTTCTTTTTTTCTCTCTTAAAAAAAAAGTCTATATGCCCAATATTTTACTTATTAGTAATCCTACTCTACTGATTTTCCCCCATGTTTTAAGTTTTGAACTTTTCCACCTTTCTCCTGTCTTTCTGTGTTTACTCATGGAATTCCAGTTATCTAGCCTTGAAATTGTAGGCTCTCCCAACTTAATCGGAATCTGACAGATCAGCAAAATAAGGAGAAAAATGTTTCTGCTTTCTGACTGCATTAAATCAGATACAACTCAGCATTAAAAAGCTATCTTTGTAAATGTTGTTCCTAATAAGTGAGTCTTATAAGATCCCTGGTCTTTGGATTTGTTGCAATGTCTTTGAGAGTAATTCTTTAAAAGCCTATTTGACTGGTTGTATCTCTTTATGATTTATTGCCCTACTAATAATGTTTGCAACAATATTTTAAAATGGATACTTATGAACTTTTGTTTAGACCAAAGAGGATTGCTGATATTTATTTCTGTTTCCATATGAATGGTGAAAGGTTTAGCTTCCAGATCTACTTACTGCATTTTGGTTTTAAATAAAAAATTGAGAGTTTGTGTGTCATTAAACTGAAAAAAATAGTCCTGTAAAATAAATGATTAAATGGGGGAAAAGGAAAAAACAGAGGCCAGTGACTCCATGAGAGGGCCAAAATGAGCCAGTAAAAGATTAATCAACATTAACTTTCAAATTTTTTAAAGAGATAAGATCTCACTACGTTGCCCAGGTTAGAATGCAGTGGTGCAATCATAGCTCATTACAGCCTCGAACTCCTGGGCTCAAGTGATCCTCCTGCCTCAGCCTCCCAAATCTTTAGGATTATAGGTTTGAGCCATTGCACCAGGCTCAATTGGATTTGGATGGGTGCCTGCTTGTCTCTGCACTCTGGTTCTAGAAATCTGGGACCTACTTCATTAAAGATCTGAAAATCTACCAGCCATTGTAAAATGAAACAAAATGTTTTTATATTTTAAATTAACTTTTTTGTTTTAGAGTAGTTGTCGAGTTACAGAAAAAGTTACAAAGATAGTACAGAAAGTTCCTATATCCCCTTCATTTGGTTTCCTTTTTTTTTTTTTTGAGACAAAGTCTTGCTCTGTCACCCAGGCTGGAGTACAGTTGTGCGATCGCAGCTCACTGCAGCCTTTAACTCTTGGACTCCAGTGATCCTCTCACCTCAGCTAGCTGAGAAGCTGGAACTGCAGGTGCATGCCACTACACCTGGCTAATTTTTCAAATTATTTTTTGTAGAGAATGGGGTCTTATTATGTTGCCCAGGCTGGTCTCAAATTCTTAGACTCAAGCGATCCCCTGCCTGGGCTTCCTATAGTGCTGGGATTACAAGCGTGAGCCATTGCAGTGGCTACTTCCCTCTTTTATTACTGTATTGTTGTGATTCACTCATCACAACTAAGGAACCACTAAGGACTTACTTAGTACATGACTATTAATTAAACCCCACATTTCATTTGGATTTTCTAGTTTGTCTCTTTTGTCTATTCCAGGATCACATCCAGGACACCATACTACATTTAGTGGTCATGTTTCCTTAGCTTCCTCTGACCTGTGATGCTTTATTTTTGATGACCTGGACAGTTCTGAGGAGTACTGGTCAGGTATCTACGAATAGAATGTCCTTCAGTTTGTGTTTTTCTGATTTTTTTTTTCTCAGACTGGGGTTATAGGTTTTCAAGAGAAAGACTACAGGAATGAAGAGTTATCTCATCACATCACATCAAGGGTATATGCTATCAACATGTCTTTTTTTTTTTTTTTTTTCTTTTCAGAGTCTCCCTTTGTCGACCTGGCTGGAAGGCAGTGGCACAATCTTGGCTCACTGCAACCTCCACCTCCCAGGTTCAAGTGATTCTCCTGTCTCACTCAGCCTCCCAAGTAGCTGGGAGATGTCTTTAGCAATCTGTAGATATAAGATCAAATTGTCAGTGAACAGAGATAATTTGACTTCTTTTCCAACTTGGATACCTTTTATTTCTTTCTCTTGCCTGATTGCTCTGACTAGGAGTTCAGTACCATGTTGAATAGGAATGGTAAGAATGGACATCTTTGTCTTGTTCCAGTTTTTAGAGGGAATGCTTGTAACTTTTTTCTGTTCAGTATGATGTTGGCTGTGGGTTTGTTGTACTTGACCTTTACTATTTTAAGGTAGTTATTGCTAAGTTTGTTGAGGATTTTTATCATGAAAGGATGCTGACTTTTATCAAATGCTTTTTCTGCGTCTATTGAGATGATTCATGAAGGATTTTTGTATCACTGCCTGGCAGATGTTTTTCATTCTGTTAAAATGAGACCAAGCCATGTTTTCCCAGTTAACAAAGAAGCAAATTTAAACACTAAACTGCAATGTGAGAGTATGTAACATTACTTTCACCACTGAAACCAGAAAGAACCCCTCTCTAAGTTATTTAGGAAAAGAAAATGGATAGCAAATAAGTATTATTTGCTATCACCACAGTCAAATTGCTTACCTAACAAATTTACTCCAAGGCAATCTTCCTCAAATACCAAGAATGTTGCCACAATAAAGCACATTCTTAATATTTTCCATGATCTTCATAGTCACAACTACCTCAGGTAAGTCAAAAATTCTTCATTAGTCTTGAAGCAACGCTTTAAAGGCAATTCATACTGTTTATTTATGAGTAGATTTATACCTCAGATCCAAACTGGCTACATAAGAATTATTTATTTATTTATTTATTTATTTTTTATTTTTTATTGGATTTTAGGTTTTGGGGTACATGAGCAGAGCATGCAAGACAGTTGCGTAGGTACGCACATGGCCGTGTGCTTTGCTTTGCTTCTCCCCTTCACCCACATTTGGCATTTCTCCCCAGGCTATCCCTCCCCACCTCCCCCTCCCACTGGCCCTCCCCTTTTCCCCCCAATAGACCCCAGTGTTTAGTACTCCCCTTCATAAGAATTATTTAAATCCAAGCAGGACAGTCACAGGAACACTAGCATATCTTTGTGTTTTAGGTGGTTATAAGCTGGTAAGACACAAGATAAATTATTTGCAAGCCCGAACCACTGAGGATCTGTGTGTTTCTCTGAGATCCCAGAGAGAAGACCGTAATCAAGACACATATACTTCCATGTTCCGTTCATGTTCACTAGCTTTAGTAGCCTGCATGGGATGGCCCCTCCACCCTTGCATCATTCCATGCCATAGACCCAGGTCCACAGCCCTGCTACTAAAAAAACTCAATGCTTTTTGAGGAACAAAGCACAATTTCCTTATTTATTTATTTACTTACTTACTTATAATAACAGCTGTATTGAGATACAATTCACATACTATAAAGTTCACTCTTAAATTATGCAATTCTGGGGTTTTTAGCACTTTCATAGAGCTGTGCATCCATCTTCACTAATTCCAGAATACATTCATCACCCCAACAAGAAACCCCCATAGCCAGAGCAGTCACTCCCCAGTCTCCCATTTCCCACCTTCAGTCCCTGGCAACCACTAATCTACTTTCTGTCCCAATGGATTTGCTTTTTCTGGCTATTTTATATAAATGAATACATACAATATGTGTCTGGTCTCTTCCACGTACTTAGTATAATGTTTTCACAGTTTATCTGTTGTAGCATGCATCAGTAATTTATCTTTTTGTATGGGTGAATTTCATTGTATACCACATTTTGCTTATCCATTAATCAGTTAATTGATGTTTGAAGTTTCCACTTCAGACTTATTAGGAATAATGCTGCTATGAACTTTCATGCACAAATTTTTCCAGGGACATACGGCTTTGTTTTTCTTGCTGAGTCATATAACTTTCTGAAGAACTACCAGACTTGTTCTTTGTTTTGTTTTGTTTTCTTAAAGACAAGGTCTCTATAACCCAAGCTGGAGTTCAATGGTGTGATCATATCTCACTGCAGCCTCCAACTCCTCAGGATCTTCCTACCTCCTGAGTAGCTAGGACATCAGGTGCGGTACCACATTCAGACAGTTTTTTTTCTTTTTTGTGGAGACAAGATCTTTTTATGTTGTCCATGCTGGTCTTAAATTCCTGGCCTCAAGCAATCTTTCCACCTTAGCCTTCCAAAGTGTTGGGATTACAGGCATGAGCCACTGCACCCGGCCATCTTCTCACTTTCTTAATGATGTCCCTTGAAGCATACAAAAAATTTTAATTTTAATGCATCACAGTTTATCTTTTTTTTCCTCTTGTGCTTTTCCTGTCCTATCTAAGAAATCATTGCCTCATCCAAGCTAACAAAGATTTCCTCCTATGTTTTCTTCTAAGAGCTTTATAGTTTTAGCTCTTACAAGTAAGCCTATGCATCATTTTGAGTTATTTTCTTGTGTACTATCTGAGGTATAGGTCTAACTTGATTTTTTTGCATGAGGATATCCAGTTGTCTCAGCACTATTTGTTGATAAGACTAGTCTTTCTCCATGGAATTAACTTTGACACTCTTGTCAACAGTCAATTAATCATAAATGTATTTATTTATGGACTTTCAGTTCTATTCCATTGATTTATACGTCTACCCTCATGCAATACCGCACTGCCTTAAATTTTTAAATCAAGAAGAGTAAATCCTCAATCCTCTAAATTTGTTCTCTTTCAAGATTATTTTGATTATTATAGATTCTTTGATTTCCATATGAGTTTTAGGATCATGTTATCAATTTCTACAAAAAGAGAAGCTGGAATTCTGATGAGATTTCATTGAATCTATAGATCCATTTGGAGAGTATTGTCATCATAACAATATCAAGCCTTCCAACTCATGAACATGGAATATTTTTCCATTTGCTTAATTCCTTTAAATAACATCTTATTGTTTTCAATGGACAATTTTTTTTGAGACACGGTCTCACTCTGTTGTCCAGATTGGAGTGTAGTGGTGTGATTATGGCTCACTGCAGCCTCAACTTCCTGGGCTCAAGTCATCCTCCCATCTCAGCCTCCCAAGCTGGTACTACAGGCATGCACCAATGCGCCTGGCTAATTTTTTGTATTTTCTGTAGAGATGGAATTTTGCAATATTGCCCAATTGGTTTCAAACTTCTGGGCTCTAATGACCCACCCATCTTAGCTTTCCAAAGTTCTGGGATCACAGGCATGAGCCACCATACTTGCCAATGGACAAATCTTACATTTCTCTTATTCTTAAATATGTTATTATCTTTGATGCTTTCATAACTGGAATTGTTTTCTAAACTTTATTTTCTAATTTTATATTGCTATTGCCCAGAAATGCAACTGATTTTTGTAACTAGATCTTGCATCTTGCATCTTACTGAACTCATTTATTCATTACAGTAGTTTCCAATTGGATACCTTAGTTTTATATCACGTCATATGCAAACAGAGATAGTTTTACTTCTTTTATTTTGCTCTAGGTGTCTTTTATTTTATTTTCTTGCCAAATTATCCTGGCTAGAATTTCCAGTACAACATTGAATGGAAGTGATGAGAGCAGAAATTCTAGTTTTGTTCTTGATCTCAGAGGGAAAGTATTTAGTTTTTCACCATTAAGCTTGGTGTGGTTGTGGAATTTAATAGATGGCCTTT